TTGCCCATTTTAGCAGTACAAAAACCAATAATTATTTCCAAAATTATCATTTTTTGTGAATAACTTATTTTATTCTCATATTTATACCAAATGTAGCTAGGGTAATTTTTATACATTTTTACAAATTTATTTGGTATTTTAAAAGCCAAATTGCATATAATTACAATTTTAGCCTATTTTCAGAATTAACAACATTTTATAATTATGAAATTGGTTCCAATATTTTTAAATTAATATTTGTATATTGATTAACTGATCCAGTACTTTTAATTTGTTTTCGAAATTATTTTTTACTATTTTTATAAATTAAAAGGGAAAACTGGCTATTTAAAATATGGCCCCATTTCGTTTCAATTATGGACCAAATTAATTCCCCAATTAACCCAATTTCGGACCTCAAACGGACCAGCCCAACCAATTTAACCCAGCCCTTAACCCGTTTAAAACTACCCGACCCAGACCCCTTTTTATCCTGGCCGTTGATCTCTGAGATCAACGGCCCTTATCCGCCCTTGCCTTTTTTAATCCTAAATACTACCCTAATCCCCTCATTTTCCCTTCTATCAGCCGCCTCTGAATACCCCCCCCCCCCTCTCAAACTCTCTCAAATGTTCTCGAAACCCTAATCGTCTTCTACTGTCTTCTACCTCAAGCTCACCGGAATCCATGGCCTCTCAGGCCATGGATGGCTTAAACTCATCTCTCTTTGCTCTTAAACACTTGGTACTCGAAGATTCGAGGTCTGACCTCGAAGGTTTTCATTCAGATCTTCGCCGATTCAGGGTTCTACGGCCATCGCCGGCCTTGCTCCGGCGTATCCTGGTCCTATGAGCCTATCTCTGAACTTTACGACCAAGATGGGACCTTTTCCAAGACTTTCTCATTCTAGGGTTCTTCTAAAACCCTAACTATTCGAGGTTCTCTCCGATTTTTCTTAGATCTGTCACATATCTGTGCTCTACTTGAGTTTTTAAACGTTTTCCCCGATTTTTCTTCAAAAATTACTTCTTTCCGATTTAGGGTTTTTTGAAAAGCTTAAAATGTTTCTCTGACTTTTCTTTTTCTTTGTGTGTATTTGTCTATACTATGTTCTTATATTTTCTTTTCTACCATGCATGTTCTTCTACTGTGTTCATATGTTTTCCTTTACTATACATGTCCTTCTGTGCTTTGTTTTTCTACTGTGATACCTATATGCTCTTTTTATATACTTTTCTGGTATTTTTGTGTTCTTCTACTGTATGTATTTCCTACTGAGTTCTTAGGTTTGTTTGCCTTCTACTGAACTTTGCTTGAGTTCTTCTAAAAAACCTCTTTAAACATATTTCTACTATTGTGTTCTTAAGTGTTATTGTTTTCTCTTCTACCGAACCCTGTTTAAGTCCCTTCTAAAAGGTTTTTCTCAAACATGTTTCTTCTACCACCATGTTGTTCTCTCATTAATGCTTCGAGTTAGTTTCTTCACTCTGTTTGCTATGAATTTTCTGTTGTATTTGCTTGTCTTCTCTTGAGATTCTGAAAAGAAATCTCTAAGCCTGTTGCCTCTTCATCTCTGTATTTGACTCGAGTCCGAAACCCTAGAATTAGGGGGGTTTCCTCCGAGTTTGGTCATACGATCAGACTAGGGTTCTGTTTGAGATCCCTGGACTCTTTCAGACTCATTTCTGAGTATATGAACTAAGTTTGAACTTCTTTGTTTGCATACAATTCTGAACCTTCTTAATTTCCTAAGACTCTTCTATTGAATAGCATGACAAATTTCTTCGTGGCTGTATGCTTTTATATGTGTGATGAATTCTTTCTTCCAAAAAGGTTTCCCAACTTATGATTGATTCAGAATCATTTTTTAGGTTTGATTGATTGTTACTGATTTTCCTTAAGTAAAAACTTTCTTCACCTTTTCTGACTGGATTCATTCAGACCTTGTGATTTACTGGCTGGTAATTGATTTCCTTTCCTTATTTGCACAAACCGTGTACTGTCAAGACCTTGTCCTTAAATAAACCTCTATGTATTTACCCCTCTTGTACTGCTTTGAAAAGTGTTTGATTAATCTCTTTCCTTAATTACTTTTACCCGTTTGAAATCAGAATCCCTTAATTATAGGGAAACCTTAGGTAATTGATTTTCAAACTATTTTCTTACCTATTTCTGCTTGCTTTCTACGCTATAAAGGCACGACCCTTTCTACACATTACATACGGTTAGTACGATCAAACAACTTTCAATTCAACATGTTTACACACATTATACACTTGAGACACTTACAATCTCATAGTTCTCTTCTAAAATCATAGAGTTCTGACTACTTGCTTGCACTTTGGCTTTACAAGACTGCTGCTTCCTTTTCTTGTTTCCTTGAAACTGGTATGTTCTAGTTTTGGTTTCAGTCTCATCCCAATGTGTTTATTTACAGCCTTTACACCCATGTTTGCTTTGTTGTCTACATTCAATGTTACTTGGCATGATTATTTCTATGCATTTGTCTTTGCTGTGAATCCTTGCACCCATGTTCCCCTATATGTGCTTTGAGTTGAAGTTCAGAACATGGCAACATGCAAGTTGTTGGTCATGTTTGGACTTGATCCCTTAGGGGGTACTAACTCCCAAACAATGTGGCCTAACAGGCTGGTGGGGTGTGCCAGCACTTCCAATTGCTAGGTATGACCATTAGCCTGTCCTTGCTTCCTCTTGGAATCCCTCTCTGCACTTACACTCTCTCTTAGCTTCCTAACGTCCCCCCCCCCCCCCCTCCTGTGAGCCATGCTTTGGGACCTTGAGTTCCCTCTGAACTTGGACACTTGAGGGCTGGCCTTTCCACACTGCACTATGACTCAATCTTGCAATGTATTTGGGTGTGAGCACTGCCCGGAGTCCATGAGGCTCTTAGGGAACTCTGACACACCCCAAATGAGAAAGTCTTTGGATCTTGGTCTTTGGAGTTGGTTTACTTCATGCTTCAGGCAGGAAACTTGAATCAGGCTCTCTTTGGTTGTAATTTTTTTTTATGATGTAATTTCTTTATTTTATTTTGGTCTGTAACAATTTTGTAATAAACTTCTGGGGTGATTAGTGAAAAAGAGAAGGGTAACCATGCATGCAAAGGGGTAGATATCATGTTCATAGGGAATATTTACACTTCTACACTCATGTATCCTGTTTTCACCTTTCACTTCCGCATCTCATATAGAGACCATGTCTATAGGTTTCTGCACTTTTGCACCTCATATAGAGACCATGTCTATAGGTTTCTGCACTTTTGCACCTCATATAGAGACCATGTCTATAGGTTTCTGTACTTCTGCATGTTTATAGACCATGTCTATAGGTCATTTCTGAAATGCTGCATATCGTATAGATAATATGCCTTAGGACTTCCTGAATTTTGCATCTCCATCTATCTCTAGACAAACCTGTTTATAGGTTTAAATAACTAACAGCATTTTAGATACCATGCCCATAGGATTTCTGCACTCTTATTACGCCTGTAAAAGTGTTTTAAATTAGTAACGCCTAGAAAGCATGCCTATAGGAACCATCAACTAAATCTGAATCGTCCATTCGCTTATGAGTCTAAAATCAGTAGCAACAATAACGACTGCAGAATTTATATTCCTGTAATTGGCAACTTCTTTTCCTAAATCAGCATACTTCTTTTTCTAAAATTAATAGATATCATGCCTATAGGTTTTCGTTTAACACTTAGGCAAGCCATAAGGTAAACTTATAATTTGAATCAGATTTTATTAACTGCAGCCAGCAGGCGGGCCTGATTCGGGATTCTTATCTGAAATATGTAATAGATGAGTCTACCACAACTCTTATGTTTAATCAGACCCTAATCAGTACGTGTAAGACATGCTAAACTATATGCTTCTCTTTGTTTTAAGGAGGTCTGTTTGAGCCTTTCTATCTGTTATGTACTTCTCCCCAAATTTGCTATATATGTGTTTTGATTGTCGCCTTAGAATTTTGTCCTTTGAAAGTATAAAACCTCACACCCCTTTCCTTTAGGATTAGTAGTCCCAAATACCTCCGGGACTGATAGGATTGGTGGAAGGAGAATATGGACCGCCTTGCTGCGGAGAAAGAGGCTGCCTTGGCCAAATTGTCATCGGCCGAGGTCCAACTTTGGGGCGTCAAAGAGAAAAGCTCAGCCCAGGTCAAAAGGATCAAGGAGCTTGAAGCCGAGCTTGTTGAAGCTAAGGCAAAAGTTGAGAAGACGAAGATCACGGCTGACATGTCCATAGCCGTGCACCTGGACGACGTCGAGGCTACTCAAACGCAGCTAAGGGAGGCTTTTGATCGAGAGCGACGGAGCAATGACTTGGCAAAGTGCCAATCCCAGATGGAGACCCTCGAGGAAATCCACACTCGAGGTTATGACCTCTCTAAACAGATAGCTCAAGCTAAGGCACTTGAAGCTGATGCCAGGTTGCTTATCTCATCCGATGATGACGATGACGATGAAGGTAGTGAAGGCGGGTCGGATAATGACGAGGGGCCTGAAGGAAAAGCTGCCCCCGAGGGAGAAACCAGCCCCAGGCATAGTTAGGATTTTATTTTTCCTTTTCTTTTTGTAAGACCCCCGTCAGTCCTTTGTACATATTTTTGCCCATATATATATATATACTAGATGAGTGTTGCCCGTGCTGAGCACAGGCACAATAACTTGAATGCTGATACAGTTTTGGTCGTGTGTAATCTTATATAGGATTGAGATACTACATAGCAACAAATAGTTTTAGAATAACCCCAGTTCCCCACATAGAGACGTATATTTCTACCCTTAATAAATAGTGATAAACATAGGAACTGGAGTAGATGCTAGCTCTCTAGTCTTATGTAGAACCAAGTAAATATTCCATTCCCTTCTACCTATAATACATTTGCTTCTACCTATAATACATTTGCAAAATCAAACCCAAACATATCACTTGTTCACGAGGATTTCCTATCCATCATGTCAATATCAAGGTTTATACCATGAACAAAAGAAATCGCATAGTCCAACCAAGAGCCATATATAGTAATGCTAAGATATTGACAAACATAGAAAACTATATATTAGTCCCCACTCCCCAGTCTCATCTCATATCGAACTAAGTAAATATTCTGTTCTCTTTTACTTTCCTTATAATACACTTGCAAAATCAAACCCAAACATATCGCTTGTTCGCGGGCATCTCCTAACCATCATGTTAATATCAGTGTTTACATCATGAGCAAAAGAAATCACATAGTCCAATTAAGAGCCATATAGAGTACTGTTGAGGTTGCTCGTTGCTGGAAACATCCCTTTGTTCCTTCAAAGAAACTCCATTCCTATTCCAAAAGAGAGTAAGAAATTAAACATTTTTGAAAAAAGAAAACATTAACTGATAAAAGTCCCATAGCAAGAATTTAAATATTAGCATGAGATGAGAGGGAGGGGGACACAAACCAATGATCCTCCCAAATAAACTATAGAGTGTCATACCCAAGTGTCAAGTTATACCCCTTTAGAGAAGAGGATAAGGTAAAGTTCTAGCATATTTATATTGTGGGAGCTACTATTGCTCAAGAGACAAATAGATACCTCAGTCATCAGACTCTTTTCAACCTTTCTTTGATGAATAATCAGTCTCAATCTAAATCAACAAATAAGAATAATTCACATTTCATGAAACATTGAAGAAGATATAATCAGACACAAAGTCTCATTCATGTAACATTAATGGCTATTTTGTGAGAAATGCACTCAACCTAGATTACATGCTTAGGTGATATGTTTCTCCCTCAAATTTTTGGTTTGTACTTGGCATCTTGCACTTCTTTTATAAGTTCATCAAATTTGTAACACATTATATTCAATGTACAAAGACGTATACACACCAAAACTAACAAAGTCATACCATGTCAAATTACCTTACATTCCACAGTAAGCCTGCTAAAACATCTTTTTTGTTTGTCCTCAATCTTAGTAGATAAACACACACAACATGAAATATCTCCATAACAATAAAAGTTTGTACCAAAAGTATTGTAGTTTATACTGTTAACTCGTCTCTCTCTCATTGGTCATTGCTTCTTTTTGCCCTCTCCTACAGACACGTGTATTGCTTTTTCTGCCCGTTTCTTGATTCTTCATTGCCAAATCCTTTACTCTAATTATTTTCTTATACTCTTCCTGAATGTCTCTGATTTGATTAAATCGATGAAACGTATTTTATTTTTCGCCATAAATTGTTATATGCTTCTTCTGCTTCATTCTTCTCTCTCAATGTCTCTTTTCATTCTATGTTTTCAGAAGACATACTTTCTAGAAATTGATGTAATTTACAAATAAAACTTAATATCTAACAATGGTATAATTTATTGAAGTAGTTAAATCCGGAAGTATAAATAGTACATGCTATTGTACCAAAAATCACCCTATCTACGTAACGAAATGCAAATTACTCGTCACAAACTATAGGTAACATCAGTAGCGTCCGTAGTGTAGGTCAAGAGTGATTAAAGCTAGAACTTTCACAAATATGAATATAAAACCTCCTCAATCAGTAGTCATTTCATGCATCAGATTACTATCTCTTCACTCAGAATTTCTTTTAGCTATCCCAGACTTGGTTGATTCGATTCCTTTACACCACATGTGGAACATATATTATTGAGGAAAGAGCTGATCTCTAGACGTGTAACTATATTTTGATAGCGATGAAACAAATAAATTAAAGCACTAAAGCAAGCACATCCAACAATGGTTGTTTCAAGAAACTACATGCAGAGAGTTAGGCCTTACCATCATAACAATAAATATAAATACGTGAAAAATGTGTTGAGGGATCGAAAGGTACCATGATAAATAGTCACATAATTGGCTATTTGAAGTGATAAAGGAGAAGCTTCAAGTCCTCCATGACCATGGCAAGTCCTTTTCCCGGGTTTGCCTCAGAAGTTTTAATTTACACACTAAGAAAAACGAAAGCAAGTTGAAGCTATTCAACATGGGAGTACATCTATAATACATACTTTTTATATATTAAAAGATCGCATTATTTGAATGCAATTATACTTCCCACTTATAAATATACATAAACTTGATAATCCTTGTGCATTCATGTAGTGAACTAACAGAAGAACAAACCAAACTATCAACAAGATAATTAACCAAGTAAATTAGTCACTATGGCAAGATCAATTCATCACTTGTACTTTCAGTCACTATATCCAAATGAAATACAAACTTAAAGTATAGCTCAATAGTATCGGTGATTCAGTACCTAGCTACCCGGAACTCTAGCTTGCAACATTAATAGATAATAAAAGTAATTAGGCTTAAAATATGAGAAGACTTATATAACTTTCCAGATTAAATGTCACATCATCTTTTGAGTAAAAAGTCATTTCAAGGATGGATTCCAAATGGCAATGAAGCTTAAACATTTTAAAACATATGCAAAGGGAAACATAGAAAAAATATAGGAAAAGGGAGAAAATGATATTAAATAATTGTCTTGGTACTCACTTATGGAATAAGTGAGATGAATAATGATGGTTGGAGAGGATATATGTTTAAGTTCAAGACACAATTAACAATATTTGAGTTCTTTCTGCTTAAGTAGTTATTAGACTTGAAAATACCAAATAAGGACAAAGCAGTACAATCATTAGGGTGAATTCCATCCAAATAAAACTTTATGTTCTAATAGGTATTACATGAATAGTAAATTTATTTGTACCATATCCATAGTTAATATATCATATAAGTTTCGGTTATGCATACGACAAATTGAGGCATCCTAGTTTAGTTTATATTGCCAGCAAAGAGAAAAGTTAAGACACCCACATTTGTCTATGAAATGCCATAAAAAAAAAACTTAAATTAAGATAAATCAAAGGGACACATCTATACAACAATGACAAAAAAAAAAAAAAAAAGTCAAGCTTATTCTTTATTTGGCAATTACCTTCGCGATTTGATAATCTTGGGAAGATTCGATTTTTGAAGGATAGAACTAAAAAGATTAGAAACCTTAGTGGGCACCAAGTCGATACAAAAGCAAAATTAGAAGAAAGATAAGTCAGTTAAAAAATTGAATATAGAGGTGAAATGTTTGTAAAGTTTGTATCCATTGTTAAAGGTGTAGTTTTTACCTAGAACAACTGCTCAATAAACTAAACAAAAGCAGAACACTGAAATTATTTTTTCAAAAAAAGGGATCTAAAATTGAAAGGGTATGAAAAGAATGTGCAATGTACCTGAAGGACGTCTTAGAAATTGGAGAATCTGAAATCAACCCTTTCTCCTGGTTTGGCCTGCTTGATATTCTACTGCTGGAACTTGAACATTCTTTGTCACATAAGCTTCCTTACACGTGAATTGATCCCCAGGAACATAATCTACAATTCTACATGCATAGAGAATAAGAATTAGCAGAATTGGCCATTTCAAACCTCTAATTGTAAATGACGAAAGGAAAAACTTAAAGCAAATATTATGTTGCAAGGAAAAAGAGAAAGAATTGGAAATTGGAATATAGAGAAAGATGATAGAAATGAAATAGACCGAAGAAGAAAGAATGGACCAAATGGGTATGAAACTATGGCAGGAGAAAGTCAGTAGAGTGGAGAAGGTGGAGTCCAGTTGTTCCACACAACAAAACTGTAAGGGCACGTGTCATAGAAAAAAGGGAAGTAGATCCAATCACCAATGAAATATAGCCAAATTTACAGTATAACTCAGAGAGCTTTCTGTACAACTTGTAATAGCTGTGTTCGTACAACTTGTCCATTTATATATAGTAGAAATATAAAGAGACTTTCCCCTTTGAATGTCTTCTCAAATTTTATCTTCCATCATGTTTCTTGCCTTGTAAAATTTTAGCACGATCTTATGCTTTGAACGGTTCATTCGAGACTTTGGTTTTGGGTGGCCTCCTCGAAGTCACCACAGTCGAGTTCGAATAAGGTTCGAACTTAAGGCATATGCCCTTTAGGGTCTGTGTCGAATAATGATGAGTCCCTGAGCCATAGTCAAATAATTTTTTATTTAGGCTCGGGATAGTCGAACCCTTGGGTCCGGATGGAGCGAGAACAAGATCTCAAACTCTAAGTGTATTTGCCCTTAGGCTCTTTAGATCGGGCCGATATGGCCTCTAAAAATGGCTATTATTCCTTTCTTTCGGCTTAAAATACTTAGTAAAAATTTTACTATGCTTTAGCATGTATTTTTTACCCATTGGATTTTTTGAGGGTTTGATATTTTTGAAACCTCTCTGCTTTTTGTGCCTTAGCACGTTTGTGTTAAGATAATTTGATACCTCTTAAGGTTTTTCGAGGGCTGATTTTATCGAAGCCCCTTTTTATTATTTGCCGAGGGTAGCCTTTTTAACCGGTTTTTCAAAGAATTCGAAGGCCTGTTTTGATTGCGGGATTCGTACGTCTCCGAGCCGCATTAATTAGACCGTAGCCTTTGGGTATGCCTCTTGGGCTTATTCCTCAATAAGACTTCGAACTTGTTCGAAATGTTAGTCCCCGAAAATGATGGCCTTGGCCTATAGATCGAGGGGTGCCTTTTTGAGGTCTTATGAATTCGAGTTTAGATAACTCGAATATGTCAATCGTCGATGACAGTCCCCGAGTGTTCGAGGTATATTTGCGCTTGGCCCTTGAGCCATTTCTCACAAAATCATAAGTATGGAGCTCGTATAGTAGAAAATTATTACATCTCGTACTTTAATACTAGGATAAGTCATAGTAATCCATATGAGCTTGAAGGGAGTAAGTAGATTGTTCCGCTTTTGGCTACTAATTTATCCCGGGAGGCAAAGATGAGAATTTGTTTTCTACATTACACCAAGAAGATGAGAATTGGGTAAGCAAGCCCTTACAATGAAGAGTGAGTCGGGAATAAAATTTGAAGTACATCGTTGTTTTAATGACCTAGTATTATTTTGTTCTCAAATCCAATTTTACATCATGACTCAGTCAAAAGAATTTGGTAGTATCAATATGCAATAAAATACAAACTCTTTTCCTGTTTACACGTGATAAAATATTGTAGAATTTCTCATACCCCACGCAAGGAAATCGAAGAATAAAAATCCTTGAAGCTGAATGATCATTTATTAGTTTATTTATGTGCAAAATTTGAAAATTAAGTAAAGTTCTAAGTCTTTTTTAACGTGTATTAAATCCACATAAGTTCGAAGGGATTATGTTTATTATGAGGTTATAGAGGGTTTAAGACATCATTATTATGAGACCCTGTAAGTTTACAATATACCATTAGATATTATGTTAATGTGGTATTTTCTTTTAAGTGGAGTATTATAGTAAATGTTTTATAAGTATAATTTTGGATAGTTACCATTATTACTATTTTCGAATATGGTAAATTATACACATAATACGAGAAAGTTTATAAATGAGATTTTCTTTATTATAAAAATAGAAATTATTTTCCCACAAGAAAAGAAGGTTACCTTTTTACCATTTTAAGAATTAAGCGTACCAAAATTTGTATTCTTTATAGGAGATTAGGAAAATTAGAAGTTGAGAAAATATATGTAATTTTACATGGATGTTTTAATAAAATAATAGTGTATGTATTAATTTTATATGGTACCATATGACCATAATAGTAGGATGTATAAAGTGTATTAAAAATAAATAAAATTTTAAGTAATTTGAAATAATTCTTAATTATGCGGGTAATTGCTTAATTACCGTGTAACGGAACATTAACTAATTACCTAATAAGTGAATAACGTGGCAGCCTTATAACATAAACTAAGTGACTCTTGCATTTTTATAAAACGTGGCATACATCTACTAAGTAGGCACATACCGCTTATATACAAAATTATGTTTAAAGTCTTCCAAAAAAATAACGAAAGCTCCAAATGGAAATCGGAAGTGACGGGATCTTCCTGTTTACTTTCCTTATCAGGTAAATGAGAACTTCCATTAAATGGCATCCAGTACATGCTCAAAAGTTGAAACATCTTAGCAAAAAATAGCTCCTGTACGGTGTCCCTTTAATCACTTTGTGTAATTCAAGGAGTTAACAAAATCCAAGAATTTGTCAACACTATTTACATGTTCAAGTTAACACCAACAAATAAGATTCTCTAGCCATCTAGCCTTTAGCACATATATGGCAGTAATGGTTCCCTCAAAGCAACTGAGATTTCTCCCCTCCCAAATACACCAAAATTTGTCTCCCCCAACATTGATGCATTTTTGGAAAAGAGGGAGGCATGAAGAAAAAAAGATGGTATGGAGAGTGTAGTGACAGGTGAGTGCGCTTGATTAGTAAGGTGAGCTGCGATAGGTTGATAGTCGTCAAATTACATAAAATGTAGTGGAAGATACTCTATTTAGTTCATGGAATGGACCTAAGGAGGGCGGAAGATACAGAAGATCCATATAGCTGACTTTAACTCATTTTGGATGGGTGTTGATTGATACGTATAAGCTTAGTGGTCAGGTATGTTAAGGCTATCCCTCCTTTCTTTTTGGCATGATCTATACGACATGAATGAAACGAGCAAATGCACAAGTTCCATAAATGAATCTATTCATAGAAGTATAAGAGATGTCTATGTTCTTGAATTCTCATATGTCTTATTATTCTATCGTCTGTTCATGGGTCTCAAAAATACGTAAGTTGGTAAAATTTACTTCATGATATTAATCAGAGGCATAATGATCTTATGACGTACCGAGAGATCTTATTAACGTATTTCATATGCATTACATGCATTTATACATGCACATTGACCCATGACCAAATGGTGTTATATACGCGTGTATATATATATATATATATATATATATATATATATATATATATGTATATGGGATATGGGAAAGGTTATGGCGTTATATACGCACCACCACCTGATCAGCTGGTATACGTTGATGATTTTGCCCAAAGTGGCCGAGATGATATGATGGGATGCCCTCGGAGGCTTGATGATGTTATGAGCACATGTACCTATGTACGACATGGCATTCATACGCATATGCATGACATTATAAGTATTAAATGATATACGGGGTTATCCAGACTTACAGGTTGAGTCATGTACTCCATGTTTCTTTCATGTCCTTTATATACTTATTTACATGCCTTACACACTCGGTACATTATTCGTACTGACGTGCTTTTATTTTGGACGCTGCATTCATGCCTGCAGGTATAAGTAATCAATTTGATGAACCCTCATAGTAGACGAGGCTAGCATTCAGCGAAGGATCGGTAAGACTCCACCTCATTCGGAGTGCAGCCGAGTCTATGAGCCATCGTGTTAGAGTTTTACTTCAGACTTATGGGTAGGCCGGTACCCTGTCCTATTTGATGTCAAATAATCTTAGAGGCTTTATAGACAGAGGTTCATTTTGTACAGTATGTCAGAGGCCTTGACGGCCCATATGTATTCATGTTTTAAGAAAAGTGGTTCAGTGATACAATGTTGTCCACTTACAGTTGTACATTATGAGTTGTGGCCATGTTGGCCCATGATAGTTACAAAAGGAATGAGTTCAACCAACTCGACCTATGTATGTTCTAGTTATGATCGAATGATTATGAGTTACAGAGTGGTTAGCTCGGGCCAGCTCGGCACCGGGTGCTAGCCACGCCTCCCCAGGTTAGGGGCGTGACAAAAATTTTCTTTAAGATACAAGATGTTTGATATAGAAAGAATGCTTCCTTGAATAATTTATACATGCGTACATGTTTTGCCATCGGGGCTTGACTAATCTATATGGACATGGTTCATTTGACTGTTTGGCCCATTACAAAGTTTTTCTATCGAGACCCTTTGACATGAAGTATTTTCCTCGAAAATATAACATCCGAGGGTGATGCCCCTCGGTATTCGAGGTTGATTGTAAAGAAGCCTTGGATACTGTTGAGTTTTCCTCAGGTAGCACATAATTGTTGCCTCGTTAAAAACCTCGCTGGAAAAACCAATTTGGGATAAAAACCGATCTAAGGGAAAAAGAGTGCTACGCGTACTTTAAAACCTAAGGTCCTCGTGTTGAAGAGTTTCTCGACGTCTTCGATCGAACACCTATAATAAGTTAGTATTAAATACAAATGGAAAGGGTGAAAGTCATACCTTAGCAATAATACCGTTTGAGGAGTGATATATTCCAATTGTTCGCCCACCATTGTTCCAAGTTTGTAAGATCCCTTTCCAATGACACCGAGGACCCGATATAGTCCTTCCCAATTTGGGCCCAATTTCCCTTCGTTCGGATCTCGGGTATTGAGGTGACTTTTCTCAGAACTAAGTCCCTGATTCCGAAGTGGCGAAGGTTGGTTCTTCTATTATAATATCTCTCGATTCTTTGCTTTTGGGCAGCCATCCGAACAAGTGCAGCTTCTCGTTTTTCATCTAATAGTTCGAGGCTAGTATTCATAGAGTGATTTGATTCTTCCATTGCATGTCGAAAGCTGGCGCTTGGTTCTTCGACTAGAATCAAGGCCTCGGAGCCATATACTAAGGAGAACAGGGTTGCCCCCGTGCTAGACTTTGATGTTGTTCGATATGCCCAAAGGACTACGAGTAAAATTTCTCTCCACTTCCCCTTAGCGTCGTTCAACCTTTTCTTTAAGTTTTGAATGATAGTTTTGTTCGTCGACTCGGCATG